TTATATTAAATATAATTTATAAAATTAGCAAAAATAATAATTAAAATGAATAATATTAATTGTTGACATCATATAGAGTTTAAACTTAAAATACTTTAATACATTCAAAAAACACAAATTTTGTTTTATTGAATAATTGATAAAGAATGAAATTATTACGATTGGAAATGTTTTTGCATAATGCCTTTCTTATTAAGCAATTAAAAATTAATAAGAAGTGGAAGATGAACTATTATATGCAGGAACTATTTTACTGGCTTAGAATAATCAACTTTTTAATTGTTTATAATTCATAAGTTATAGTAGTATAATATTCATATTTTTATTATAAAATTTTTAGTCTTAATTTCCAGAGAATATGCGAATAATATAATGCGAATAATAATAAATACAAATAAATAAATATAAATAATAACATATAAAGTATAAAAAAGGAATAAACATGAATATAAAATTAAGAGAATTAGTTCTTTTTAATACATATTTAAAGTTACAAAACATATATACAATATTATTAATAATGTTATCATACAATATTATTAATAATATATTCTAATACTCACAGTAATAAAAATGAGACCAATTGTTATTAATTCAAAAGTACTAAAACTTATAGTTGTCAATGCAAAAGGGCGAACTATGGCAACTACTTCTTGTGCATATCTAAAATGGACATATACATTGAATAATCTTATTAAATATCTTGTTTTTATATATATATATATGTATATAAATTTTTCCAAAAAGTTAGAAAATACAGTATGATAAAATTTTGAATTTGTAAATTTAGAAAAAATTATTTTTTTAATATAAGATGCAGTTGAAGATAGTGTAATTTAGATATATGATTGATTCTTAAAAGTGACATTTTTAACATTAAAATAATTGTGATATATTTTTAAAATTGGAAATCTTGTTCAGAGAGTTATTGGGTAGTCCGGAAAGTTCGTGCCGATGTTGAAGGAAAATTGAAACGCAGAAAATTTAAATTTTAGTATACATTTATTAAATTATATAGGTTAGTCGGCACAAACTTTCCGGACAACCCAATATAATAGAGTTACTTATGAAAATGCAAAAAATAAAATATAAAATTAAAATATGACTGTATTTGAAAAAAATATATATTTAATAATATTGGTTTATAAATTTAATAATAATAGTCTATAAAAATATATGTTTGATAAATATGTTTAATATTATAATTATCAATATAATTAATATTATTAGTATATATTATTTTCTAAGTTTATTGATATGCTTGAATTTTATCGAATATTTTATTTCAAACTTGATCTCTATGATTAAAATGTTATAATAATAGACTTGTTCTGTTTCTTTTTTCATACCCTAGGAATTTCTTGCACAGTTCATCTGTCTTTATCTTCTTTTCACATTAGCTGCGTTCATTACAAAAAATATTGTTTAATGTAATGTTTTGCAATTGTTGTAAAATTCTTTAATATAATTGGTTTGTATATTTAGATTCATGCTAGAAATTAAGAGCAAGATGAATTTTAAAAAAATTTACAACAGTTGCAAAGCTGCTTTTTCTGCTACAGTCCATCAGAGTACATCATTGGAGAGAAAAAGACAAAAAAATAAATCGTGCAAGATATTCAGTTCCAGGAAGGTTCTAGAAAAAGAACAGGCCTAATATAAATATTTTTAAATACTTACTGTAGTAATTTTTGATGTTGTCGAATGCATTGAACTAAACCATAAACATTGGTGATTGTTCGTAACTTCTTGACTAATAATTCAAATCTTGCTGAGGTAGTCCAAAGCAAAAGAGCCATGAAAATATTCATACATAGTTGAGCAGAAATTTGAAGCAATATAATAGACTGATGCATGAATATAACACTTTTTAATGGTTGCTGGTAAACGAAAAACGGGTATTCGGCGTTCGTTGGAAACGGTTGATCTAGCGTGACAGGTCCAGTGATGACGAAAACAGCACTTAAATAAATCCAAAGCATAGAGCCACCGTAGAAATAAATGCATTTGCTAATGTATTGCTGAATAGTTGCTTCTTCATGAGGTTTAATTAATTGACAGAAATTTTCCATTTCGAAAGTTACTAACTGAAATCGATTAGACCGATATTATACAAAATATACATGCAATAGCATGTCTTGAGATAGTTTTATTTTACATCCGATATTTCACTTTTAAAATTCCACTCTTACTAGATATATTTTATACTAATTACTTGCAGACGACGTGAATTAATTTTACAGCTTATGATATTGCAAACAACATGCACCATAGGACATATTATGATTATTGATTTTGCCATGATGAGAGGATCATTTAGATGGTTTTTAACTGTGTTCGTTAGTCCTACGATTAGACCTAAAGTTAAAATTAGACACAGATATTGGTATAGTCCCACACAGATAATTTTAAGCTTAACTGTGTCTTTTGGAAGAGGCCAGCACGATGTTATGAACAAACTTAGTTTTACAATCGCGATCACCTTCTTTAATGTCAAGTTCTTCTTCATGATCATATATCACATACACACGTTACGAGAAATGTGCACGCGTTACGAGAAACGTATACGAAAAAATTCTTGCTTGGACAAGAATTGCAGCACAATAAGCGAATGTACATAGAAGAAAATTTTATACAAACGAAGTTCTAATGGACTTCCTCGAATGTATTTCTACGATGTAATTCTTATAAAAGAAGAAATGATATTACCTAGCAGATTTATACTCCACAAATATCTGTAGAATTCTTACTATAAATTCTAAAAGAAGTATAATACACTCCTCGCAAGAGATATTCAATGCATTAATTTAATATATATACTTTGTACCTTGTGCATTGAATTCTTTCTTTTGATAGTATAAAAGAATTTTCTTGAACACTATTATTTTTTATCATTATACGCAATGTGATGAAGGGAAGAGTTGAGAATGAGCTGAACTAGGTTGAGAATGATTTATAAGTTATGGAATATGCAAGTAATTGAAGATTGTTGCTACACGCTATAGCAGTTATTTCTGATATTCATCGTACGAAAAATTTTCTGATGCAACCCCAGTTTTATTGAAATACTTTAGAAATAAAGACAGAAATAAACGCTATTTTGTTGTGCTTGGAATTTCATGTTAAAATAGTTGAAATAGTAATACTATACTATTAGTAAAAAGTTTAGTATTATCATCGTCTATGATATGCGTAATAACCTTTTTTCAATTAAGTTTCATTTTTGTTTTTGAAAAGAGGATCAATATATATATATATATA